TTATTATACTGTTTACCATTTAATTTTATTTACTATTTACTATTTAATATACTATATACTATTATTACTTAATTGATAAATATTTAATTGAACTTAGATATATGCACAATTTTACATTATCAAAACGTTTCTTATGATTTTATTGCACAATTTATGAACACCTATCGACCCTTCCCTGTTAGCCGAGTTTTCGATTATCCGAGGTAGGCGCGGTCCACATCACCGCGGATAATCGAGACTCTACTGTACTTTACACTGCAGATTTGTGCAGCAGTAAAAGCGACTGTACTGTGTGATTCTAGCAGGCTTCTATGACTAATACACGTTAAAATGTGAAAGGCAGGTTTGCAGTGGGAGTGTCCAAAAAAAGATATGCGCATTCAAATGTATTGGATCCAACCCTGTAGCAAACGCACCAGTTTCAATTTCGCAAACCAATTTCTATGTATGACTTGTGTGTGTATATATGTATATACGGGGTGTTTACAAATTTGTGCTACTTGAAATAACTATTAGGCAGTAGCTGCTACGAAGAAAATGTAAGAAAATTTTCTTTGTCACTTTTCATATAGAATTCAAATGACCTGAAATCAATCCAAAGTCACAAAAGAGAAGAAATTATTGAAACAAATAAGGATGAAGCTTTCTGTCCTTTTACTCACTTTATTTACATGCTATGTTTAAAATGAGTTACTAAATTTTTTGATTCAATATAATCTATTGGACATGGGTTATGGAAAGAAATAGTCTTTTAACTTTGTAATATGCTATTTATTGACGGACTCAGAGGAAACGTCTTTACGCTATTGAATCTTCTAAAGGACTGTTTCTGGGCACCCAAAACGAAAGTTGGGGTCCCCTTATACTGTCGTCGATTCACTTTAGACGGTGGATTTTAGGAATTATCTTTATTTGTTGATAAGTTTTCTTTACACTGTTGGTTTTGCGGATATAAATTGTACGGTCTAAACTTCCTTGTTATGCAATGCTGACTGCCCTTCGTCCTTTTTCGAGGCTGCTTTTATATTGGGGTTTTTGGGAGTTGCGGGTGGGGGAATTTAGGAATGCGTTCGTTAGGTAAGGACCAGGAATGTGTAAGGATAATGATCAGGACTCGTTAGGATTGAGGGTTCGATGGTACGGGAGAAGAAGTGCAGGGACAATGGTTCGGTAATGAACTTAAGGATTCGGTACAAAAGAAATGGGTAGAGTGCATCAGTTTGAGGATCTGCCGGAGATAGGACAGGAATTCGGTGGGAAAGTGGAAAACGCGCAGGTAGTTGTCGAAACTGTACCTGGGATAAGAATCTGTATGCATGGGAGTCGAGGGACAAAGGGATGAGGATTCGACAATACCTAGGAATTGTTTACATTATGGTATCGCATTGTGCAGTGCGTGACTCGAAGACGGACACCGGACACATCCGGTGGAAGTCTTAGTGCCTTTGTTTAAAATAACCCGGAGACATTTTTGTCCTCACTTGATTATTTCCATAGGGTGTTGTTAGAAATAATCCAAGATAATCAAATGGTACATTAACAAAAACTGTTTCCATTAATAGTCTACCATGTACAGAGATAATTTGTATATTAACAATTTTTAACACTGAGTCATAGAAAAATAAAAGTGCACAATGTTACGATCCCACTGCCTTTCCCCCGCACATTGTTATTAGATACTATTATAATATTATTATTAACATTATTGTAATTGGATACTATTATATTATTATTAACA